TACGGTGCAAACGTAGCTATCAGTGCCACCATACTAAACCGCAATTTTCTCCCGTGTAATAGACGATAGCTTTCCGCCAACGAGGCTTTGACCATACTACGGTGCCCAAATAGGCACCTGCGCCAAAATGCCCGGAAACCCGAGACGAAGAGCACCTACCGTAGATGTAAAGCCCTCTACTCCTCCCACGTCTCCCATTTCACACTCATCAGCCTCGACGTCGTAGCAACAAGCTTGGGATTGCGATGGCACCTCTTGACGTTTACTTTACCCTATTCTCGCCCTGGCAGAAGAAGGCTGTAGCAAACGACTTCTTGCGCCTGGTGACCGCCTTACGAGGAGATATTTATATTGGCTGAGTTATTTAATGTGACTTCCCTAGTATCGAATAGGCTGCCGGCTCCTGTTGATGTCCGGCGGCGATTCTACATTCCCTCCATACGTCGCATCATGGAAAAGAGTCATATTTTGATTGCATTTTGTTCTCGTATTGTCCGAACTAATGATGCCCAACACTAGACGGCATAGTCCCCTCTATCGCAAAAATCATACAAAGAGGTTCCTTACCAGATAACCGACCAATGGTTATGCCAGACCAAACGCCTCCATCTATCGTAGCCACTGCCATGAAAAGCCATTATCCCCAACCCAAAGACCAATTTTTAATCTTGCTCATGTAGCTTCACTCGCCTGCGTTTATTTTTTCTTGCCCTTGGTTTTGCTCTTGGCATTGGTGGCGGACTTGTTCGAGGCGACACTCGATGCCCTCGAGGGCGCGGCGGATGTGTTCTTGCTTGCAACCTCCGACTTGACGTTGTCCAGCGCCTTATTCTATATTTCTGGTTAGCAAAGTTCATTCATGCGACCAGTCTAGCCCCTACCTTGACGCCGTTCTTAGTCTTCTTTTTCGAAGGGGCCATGCCGAGGATGCTGTCCTCGTCATTCTCCTCATCCTCGGCCTCTCTCTTGAGCTTGCCGTTGACGCCATTAGCACCCTTGGTCGGGTGAACATCCTCAAACTCCTTGACAATGGTGGTGAGTAGAGTGGTGCAGCGACGGCTCAGCTCGACGGGCGTCCTGCTGAGGAAGAACCAGTCAAATCGGAACAGAGGGCTCTCCGCAATATCGTCGCGCATCTTCTCGTACAATCCTGCAGAGTCGATACCGTACTTATCGAGCAGGACTAGCAAGAACCGATCTTCCTCCTCGGTATACACCTTCTTGTTGGTGGTAGACACGGAGTAGTTGATCTTGAGCTGCTGCAGGGGAACGCGGTATTGCGACATCTTCTTGCGGAGAAGCTTTCTCTGGTGCTCAATCTTGCGCATACGCTCCTCGCCGTCTTCAATCACCTTGATGTACTTGTTGTAGTCGGCAATTTCTGTGTATCGCTGCCAGAAGACCTTGGCGTACTGCTTGACCTCGGAGGCAGTCTTGTTGTCAATATCTTCGGCAATGTTTGCGTAGTCATTGCGGCCGTAGCGGCCTGACGCGTTGATGAACTGTTGGAAGTCACGTCTGTTCCATTCTCCAAAGCCTTGCTGCGACAGGCGCTGCTTCTCTTCCAGCTCCTCCTCGTTGAGTGCGGTGGCCTCGTCGATCTCCTGTTGATCCAAGGCTCGCTCCGCCTCGCGCTCATCAAGGTTCTCGTCGTCGCCGTCTGACAGCGGCACCTTGTAACCAATCTCCTTGCGGTAGAAGGCAGTCTCACGGTCCTGAAGGTCGCGCAATCTAGGAGGGTAGAATTGATAGTCGTGGACTGGTACTTGCTTCGGAGCTCTGGGTGCCTTGGGCTTCGTGTCCTTCTCCTTGGGAGGGTACATGGCCTGTCGGAAATACTTGTCCATGGAATAGGACTGCTCCTTTCGCTCACGCTTGGCGGGGTTGATCCAGTTCATGCCGATCTCCTTCTTGTTCGTCTTGAAATCTTCACCGTTCCAGGTGTAGGCTGACTCGGATGTAAAGTTCTGCAAGTCGTCGATTCCGAGCTTCTCGTACTTGGCATTCAACTCCTTCGTTCTTGTTTCACCCGAGGAAAGAATCTTGTCGATGTCATCGTCGTCCAACTCGGTGCCCTTGGAGGCAAGTGTGCCGGTGGCGCCCTTGCTCTGGAACACCTTCTCGGCGCCATGCTGAATCATGGAGAGAAGCTCATCCTTGTTGTTTGCAGCCTTTGCTGCGACTTGAGCCCGGCCTTGCTGAATGACCAGCTGGTCGAGACGCAGCTTCTGTGCTGCTCTTTCCAGAACCTTCTCTTCGATGGCATTGTCCGTCACGAAACGGTACACCACAACTTGCTTGGTTTGACCGATACGGTGAGCTCGATCCATAGCCTGCAAATCGGCTTGAGGGTTCCAGTCACTATCGTAGAGAACAACAATGTCGGCGGTGGTGAGGTTGATACCTAGACCACCAGCTCTGGTCGTAAGAAGAAAGATGAACTTCTCAGAACCAGGCTTGTTGTACTCGTCAATGGCAGCGATACGATCCTCGTGGGCTGTTCCACCATCGATACGGCAGTACTTGTACTCTCTGAACACACAGTAGTCCTCAAGGATATCTAAGAGACGACTCATCTGCGAGAAGATGAGAACTCTGCTTCCCTGCTTTTGCATTCTGGCCAACAGCTTGTCGAGAACGGCCATCTTTCCAGCGTTGTAAACGAGATGCTCGTCGGTGGTGTAGGGCGGTCCAGGCTCAGCACCCTCAAATAGGTAGGGGTGGTTGCAGCACTTGCGCAGCTGCATCACAATGTTAAGCAGTCTGGTCTTCGACTCCCGCTTGCCGTTGGCGCCGTTGACAGCGTCAATGTCCTTCTCGAGAATCTTCTGATACCACTTAATCTGCATTTCCGACATGCCGAGGTAGACGTTGACCTCCTTCTTCGGCAGCAAGCTCTTCTCCACGTCAGCCTTGACACGTCTGAGTAAGAATGGTCTGAGAACACGGTGAAGCTGCTGAACGACGGTGTCCTGGTCTTGCTCTCTGCCAGAGAACCACTGGTCAAAGGCCTCGGAGTCGCCGAAGACGTCAGGCAACAAGAAGTTGAGCAGAGCCCACAACTCGTGCAGGTTGTTCTGAAGGGGTGTGCCGGTAATGAGGAGTCGGTTTCGGGAGTTGAAGAGACGGATGACCTGCGCCAAAGATGATTCTTCGTTCTTGATACGATGCGCCTCGTCGATGATAATGTACTCCCATGCGAATTTCTTCAGGTGACTCTTCTCACGCAGGACCATTTCGTAACTCGTGATGCAGACATCGAAGTCCTCGTTGACCAGACGATCATTGATAAGCGCCTGGCGCTCGTCCTTGGCACCCTGAAGCACCAGGACGTTGACCCCAGGAGTCCACCTCTCGAACTCTCGCTTCCAATTATCCAGAGTCGACTTGGGTACGATGACAATATGCGGTCCGGTGATGTCCATGATGTGTCTGAGGTAGCCCAAAAAGGAAATCGTCTGCAGGGTCTTTCCGAGACCCATCTCGTCGGCAAGGATACCAGAGATACCATTCTCGTGGAGAGAAATAAGCCAGTTGAGACCGGCAATCTGGTAGTCTCTCATTTGACCTTGAACAAAGGCGGGCGAATCGCGGAATACCGTCTCGGCGGACCCACCGTGCTTCTCGTCACGAAGCAGCTCTGCATCCTCCTCAGCTTCGGTCCGGCGTACTCGTTCATTGCTGGCGCCACCTTGGCGGGCGCCCTTCTTCTTGGTTTTTGATGCCTCGGCATTTTGTCGATCGATCTCGGTCATGATTTCGCGAATTTTGGGGTTGGGGTTCGTCTCGATGAAGTGGCGGAAGAGGTCCGTAAGACCCAACAAGTATCGGAATCGCCGGATACTATCTTCTTCCTGTTTTCAAGTATTGATTAGCACGCAAAGAATGATGGTATATTCAAAATAGTAAGCGGTTTGCGCCTTGCATACCTTTGATTCGCCCAGTCTGTCATGCTTCTTGCCAAAGATGCTGCGACGGAGCTGATTGGCCTCGGATCGCTTTCTGCGACCATCTCCGAGGGGCTCTCCGACCACACTGCTAGCAGTGGTGTTCGCATTGGTGTCTGAGTCGGTGTAGTCGGGCGTCTCATCGACTTCCTACTTGCACGTCAGCGAATGGGCTAAAAGACTCAATCGCAACATGAGCTCCGTAGGGAGTACACCAACGCGAATAATCATGGCAGGGAAAACATACCATATCTTCCACGGGGTGAGCATCCGCAGCGTCGGACATTGACGCGTCGGTATCGACCGCGGCAGCTCGAGATCGAGGAGCCATCTTGACGGCTGGAAATCACTTTACGCGACTTACACGCGTTTCTTACGGATCTGACAGCGCGCTCTAGATGGGTGGGTGTGGTTCAAATGCTCAAAGTAATATCGCAATGCAAACGGTCGCGGAGCATTCAGGAAGATGGCCGAATGCTTTGTTGCTGCGTGAGGGTGAACGGTCCGTAGATGTTTTTTAGAGATGATGGGAGGAAAGGTGGGATCCCTCTGCTGTAGAAGACAATTTCCAAACAGGACTAGCGCGTTTTCGCCGTGTCAATTCCCGATCAGTGCACCAGTACCGGTACGTTTAGCGCCGCCCGTGGTTCGGGTCCGGAAGAAGGCAGCCTCCGACTCTTCCCCCATCCCGTGTCGTCTCGGGCGCTCGCCAGCCCAGGGGCACGGTGCTGACGGGAGATGGGAATTTGGAAAAGCGTCGGAGGATCCACCGCCCGCTCCAAGATTGGGTCAGCTGGCCAAGACTACCTATCCAGCGCACTGGCCATAGGTGGAGGGGATAACGTCAAAGCCACCTAAGATCCAAGGTAAATTGGGCCCTGTTAAGCTGCTGTTGGCTGTCGGTTAGCACCGCCGTCCAGTGTCATGTGCTCTGCGGCGAAGGCGAGCTGACCTCAGTGCTTCACTTCCGCCGTCAATCAACTGCATCTTCTCATCACAGCCTGTTTGATTGTCTCCATCACCAAGTCCTCGGCATCTCCTTCTTTTACTCTTTGCGGTCCAAGGCAGCCCGCCCGAAAAACCTCAACAGGTAGTGCAGCTAGGTGCACTCAAGCACTACCACCACCATCTCGCACCTTATCGCCACACAGTTAACTTCGCTGGGGGACCCCGTTTGGACCCCACTCCGGCATCAACTGCAAGATTTGTTTACCCGACAACCTCAATTACCTACATTTCACCGCTAGAGGTGCGGGACTCATCTTTCTCACCCTTTGACTCGGTACTGATTCCCTTCAGCGATTCGGTCGTTGACAGTACGGTATCATGGACTCGATGCGAAGTTTGAACACCTCCCTCCCGGGCGCCTCCGCCGCCGCCAAGCAGCCGACGCAAAATGACTCCCCCGAGCAACTCATCGACGCCTTCAAGGCCGCCGCGCTCTCCGTGACGAAACTCTACAAGACCTCTGCGGCTGCCCAATCCAAGGCCCGCATGGACGGCTACCAAGACTGCCTCGACGACCTGCTATCATTCCTCGACAATGAGAGAATCGGGCTTGGCGACGGCGACGGCTGGAGGATCCGAAGCTGGGCGACCGAGAGGCTTGACGGTGCCAGAGATGCGGGCTCCCAGAACGCTGAGAGCGACGACGAGGCGGACAAGGCGGAAACTGCCTCCTCTCCGGAGCTGAACAGGGCGAGCAGCGGCACACATCTCTCGTCCCAACTGAGGACGGACTCGGCGCCCCCTAGCATCCCGCAGCCCGTCGAGGAAGAGCAAGAGGAAGGGCGGGAACCGGTATCAGTCACGGTACCGACGGCAGACTCTTTCACCTTTCAATCATCTCACCCTTGGCCGCCTCAGCCGCAGCAACAAGACGCCTACCTGAACCTCGCAAACCTGGACCTCTCAGACTCTCGGACACACGACGCATCATCAACAAACGCAAACCCCGCAACGCGCACAGCAAGACCACGACACCCCGCCAACATGCCCCGCTCAGCATCAAGACAAGGGAGCAACCTCGGCCGTGGCGCGGGCTCGAAGCGCAAGATCAATTTTGCAGAGATATTCGACCTCAGCAGTCTAGACAAGAACATGTTTGGCGGCGGGCCAAAGCGTAGCAGGCACACATAGTGCATTTGCCCGACTAGCATTCCACGACTTTCTTCACTTTCGACAGCGGTTCAACTTTGGGGGGTGGGGAAGCGGAACGCGTCCTCCTACACCTCCTGAAGTTGTCTGTTTAACGGTTATGCGGACATCATTGTCTTGACGACGGGATTGAGCGAGCATCGAAGGGGGGCCAGGCATATTGGAGGGAAGAAACTCGCACGCAAAGCATTTAGAGAGTTGCGTGTTCATGAGAGGCGTTGGTTTTCCGTTTTGTTTCTGGTTTTTCACTTAAAACCAAGGTGCATGGGGCGGTGTTATGGTTTTTAGGGGACTGTTTTCGCGATGATGCCAAATGAAAGGGACGGCTAGCTAGTCTCACGAACCCCATAGCTACACATATTCATCATACTATCTGTTCCCCCGTCACTTGTTGGCGGTTTCATGTCGACGACCTTTTTGGAAGATAAAAGGGTCGGCTGCCATCAACACGGGGGTAATCATAAAGACATTAACATTTTCCTTGTCGCTTATATCTTCTCTCTATGTCTTCTCTGTGCATTCTCTGTGTCTACTTTGCTTTCCTTGAAATGACGTTGACTTTACTCGCATTGTGCGGACGAATCCCCCAACAAAGTTTCAGGTTTCAGGGTTTCAGCGTAGTGTTCCCTCTCAGTTCGGGCTGCTCTTCTGATGTGCATACCGTCGTACATTCAAACATGTTTCAACACACAACACACATACCACAGTAGAGATACATCCCGTCGGTCGCAGGAATATGCCCTTCGGACTTCGTCCCAACTCTCGAGTAGCGGTGGTGGTGCCCGTCTCGTCCAAACACCCGCGCGGACCGGCGGGGTGCCCGCCCTCCATGGGCCCAAGAAAAAAGTCCCTCAACTGCAAATGCGCTAGCATGTCCAATATGCGGAAAGAGTCATCGCTCAAGGGGCCCCACATTCTTTAGAACGTGCCAGAGGCTTCAGGCCAGCTACACGTTGGCGCTTTGGTGATTTCTAGAATCATTTGCTTTGGCAAGATCTGTAGACATTGCATGCCCTGCTGGGAAGTACGAATACCTAAAAGTAGAATTAGAAAAATGCAAATCGTTGCAACTCATAGTGACGATCTCCCATTCTCCGCCAAGGTTCATCGGCCTGTCTCAGTCCGAGAGAAGCCACGTGAAAATATGCCCCTGGCCGAGCCCGTCAACAGGGCGGGGTGACCAGTGACGGGTACAACAGGCCCCAGGGGTAGGGAAAACCCATTACTGCAAATGGCTCTACGGGCACCACCACATGGACCAGCGCCTTCGAGAAACCCCCACCAAACGGGAGAAATGCGCAAGGCTAGCGCTTCATAAATTTAAAACGCGCGAGGAGGAGGCATCGGAAGGGTGGCCGAGTTGGTTATGGCGCCAGGTTAAGGTCAGCTTAACATCTGTTTCCTGGTGGGGCAACCCGCGCGAGTTCGAGTCTCGTCCCTTTCATTTTTGCGTTTTCCGGGACGGGTCGAGACAGATTAGCTTCAGGAAGTCAGATAATGATGGACGTTTCTTCTTTTCTTGGTGTTGGGACATCTCCGACGTTATAGAGAGTTGCGGAGTTGTAGGGAGCTCAATGACTCTCAGTCGCAACTCTCAACAACGAACATCTGCACACATAGACCCTCCTCACAGACCAGCAGAGTCTCACGGCAAACAGTACTGCGTGTTATTGCATTCTTAAAGGAAACAAAACACTATTCAAGTGAACCACGTTTGAACATCATCATGACTCTCATTTGATGGTACTAACTTGTCAGAAATCTCATCATTACGTTTTGGTTCATCTCATCCTCGAGGCTTCTCCCCACCGCCTCAAAAGCGCGGAGAGGACGAAAGTTTGATATCATCCGTTTTTACCAGGCTTCTTTTTTACTTTTCGTTTTTGGTTTTCGCGGACTGCCCTAGGTTTTTACAAAACCAAATCTAACCATCCCCCCAGAGATTTCCCAGAACGCCGTACTAATGCAAGCCGCGAAAAGAAAGACGAAAGAAGAAAAAAGTAAGGGGGGCCTTGCTCTTGAATTTTTTCTTTTCCAACCAGAAATTCCCCAAATCTTTCTTAGTTCTCCTGTCTGTTCTTCCGTTCCCGCTCGACCTCGTACATGAAATCGAAGTAGCCCTTGTCGAACTGGTGGACACGGACGTAACCGTCCTCACCACCACTTGCGTAGCCCTTTCCGGTAGGGTCTGCGGCGACGGTGTTCTTCCAAAAAGTCAGTCGGCGGCACGATATGATATCATGAGCTCAGGTAGGGAGGACTTACAAGAGGACCGAAGTGACCACGGACTCTGCCAACCTCGTCTTCAAAGACCTTGTGGTAGAATCTCGCCTCGAACTTTCCTTGTCTCGCCGAGGTACGGGTGACATCCATGGCGGCCTGACCACCTCCGAGGATGACAAAGTCCTTCTTGGGTGTAATGGTGGCACTGTTAAGAGGGGTATCAGCGGTGTAGGTCTTGAGAACCTCGAGGTCCTTGGCGGTGATGAGCTATATCAAGTCAGCATTTGGTCTTGCAGATCGTCAGACATGTCGGATGTACCTTGGACGTCTTGTCCTTGCAGGCGGTGATGAAGTAGGTTCTATCCTGGGACCACTGGAGATCCGTGATGGGCGTGTTAAGCTCGTGAACGGGCTCGTTGTAGATCAGGTCACCGTTCTGGAGGATGGTCAGCTTCACGTTCCCTTTTTGACATCCCTCTGACCAGACCCACCTTAGCATCGTACTGCGACACGGAGCCGTCCTCGTGACCGGCGATAATGTACTTGGTGAGGTAGCTGAAGCCAGCGACGGTGGCCTTGCTCTCGTCGCAAACGATAGTCAGGACGCGCTCATCGCTCTGCTCGGCCTCGGGGTCGGGGTTGATGTCGACGACGATGATGTTGGAAAGGTAACCCATGCGCTTCTCCGTGACACCGAGCAGCTTGGTGCCGTCCTCGTTGAACTCGACGCGCTTGACGGCGGTAGGGAACTCCCAGGTCTTGAGGTTCTTGCCAGACTTGACGTCCCAAAGTCTCATCGTGTTGTCGGCGGAACCGGAAGCGATCAGGGTGCTGGTGGGATCGACGTCGACAGTCCAGATAGCACCGACGTGGCCGTGGTAGGTTCCCAGACGCTCGCCATTGTGTGCGTACCAGGCGCAAATCTGTTGATCCTTGGCGGTCGAGAAGATCAGGTCACCGTCCGAGTTGTACCTATTCGAGGTGGCGCATCGGGTTAGCATGCATGGCCCCTCCTATGGTACGGGAGTTGGGGGGGGATGAGGGAGGAGATAGCCCTGGCGTCTTGCTTCCCCCTCCTCGAATTGGACATTTCGCGCGCTGGGTGGTGCAGAAACGTACTTGATCTGGGTGAGCGCACGCTCGTGGCCTGCCAGAAGAATGGGCCTCATATTGTCTGATGTCGGGAGGTGATGCGGTTCTCGATATCGGGGGGCTTGGTATACGGGCACGTTGTTGCGGCAGGGGACGTCGGTCTTTAAAAGGCTGATGTCGTCGGGTCAATCGTGAATTTTTGCCTTCACCTCGACATTGTGGGTTTCGGTGCTCTGGTGTGTGGGGCGCACTTTTTCCCCGCGACCATTCTGCCGGTTGAGATGAGGGCCATTCACCGCCTTGCCGTCTTTGGCCGCCTCAGGCAAGCCGCAAGTGGCAGCTTAACTTAGCACGAGCATGGGCTACCTAGGTGTGGCACAGGCTCACAGCAAGGTGAGTCAATCGTCCCAGGTGTGTGACGGCGCCAGCGCTTACAGCTCATCTCCTAGGCCTTAGGTAAGATAAGGCAGGTACCTAGAGTAGGGCACCTCAGGCATTCGAGGCACCTGTCTTGCCTGTCAAGCCTGAGGGAGGTGTTCGAGGAAACTTCCACCGGTGCAGGCAAACCCAGCCTTCTAAAACTTTAGCGTGCCGGTCCAGGCTGGCGCACGTCACGGAAGGAGCTGCCCCTGGAGAGGTTGGCGGCGGGACGGGAGTCATGGCAGCTCCAAGCCCTCCAAGTGCCAACCCTCCAACTGTCCAAGCCAGACAGCGTGGCAGTCGTGGCAGCTCAGCCGTTGAAGCTACGTGCCCGTCAGAATAGTGCGGTCATCATCATCCAATTCCCACGCCGTTGCATTTCCCAATTGCCCATCCTTCCCTCGACTCGAGTACTCGGTATAACAACAGCGTCCTTTTATGGCAACTCGACTCATCCTTGACTCATACGTGTTCCATGAACAGCGTTTCCGGACCTCGAAACTTGGCATTAAACACTATCAAGTCAAGCCTCGGACCCTTTGGCTCAACTACGTGAAGCTCATGTTAGTTTCACATGCGCTTTACCGAGACAGTCTTTTTTGCGAAAGAGAAATCAGACCGTCCGGACCACCGTCGTTTGTTTCTTTGTCTTGTCTTGTTTCTTGTACCGTATTTGTATCACTCGCCCCGTTTCCTCTTTTCCCTTCTTGGGCACGTCAATTCATTTGATCCATCTTCTTATCCGTTCAGTCTTGATTGGGTTCTCAATTGTGTGTGTTTTTTCCCAAAACATATCATTTCGCGGGAGCCTCCTCCAACCATATACAAGCCAATTACTCCGTACTTACGCAGTAGCTCACTTTATATAATACCCACAACTCGACTGCTTATCGATCGGGTTTGCCGCCGGCTTCGGAGACTCGCCCGAAAATTTTCGACCTGCCACAAACGGCTGATCCTTCCATTTTCACTGGGACTCACTCGTACAGAGTCTGCATAGCCAGGACCAGCCTACCAGGGAACCTCAACAGTCATAGGTACGACTCACACGCACGCGATCTGGGAGTCACAGGGCCCTATCGTTTAGCTCCACCCAAGGGAAGATCGAAGCCAGCAAGGGACATACCACCAAGGTCCAAAGGGAGACAGACACCTCACACTCATCTCGGTATTCGGCATGTCGTCTATCAGCCAGTTGAAAGGCCCTCAGAGGCTGTCTTGGACAACACGCTGCATGGCCATGCCCAACAAGTCTCAGCTTCGG